TATATATATATATAAAAGTATCTTTTTCTTCAAAGATAGGTCAGCACTTTACTGTAAAAGTATTCTTACTTCAGCTTCCTTTTCCAGCAAAATCTGGTCTTTATTCACTTCTTCATCTTCTACTGTCCTAGGATGAGAAAGGAGGCATAAGTATTTTTCAAAAAACATCTGCGCCTTCCAATTTAATTCAACTCTCAGTGACAGCTTTGCATTTGCTCACAACCAAAAAAAAGTCTCATTTGGAACTAGCTTTACGCTGTCTTATATGGAAAGCATTCAAATACCTGGAAGATTTATCCTGGCACTTTCCCCACATTAGTTGTGAAACATTTAATAAAAACAAACCTTTCAGAACAAATAATTTCCTCACCCATGCCCCAAAAGAAGGAAAGCAAAAAAGAAAGCTTAAGAGAATCAGGTACAGAAGTCAGAATGTTCCTGCTTGTTCTGAGTTAAGGCAGCTTTCATTCTTGCTCTGTATTTGGGCATTAGTACTGTATCTAAACAGCATTTAAGTGCATTCATTGCATTTTTTGTTGTTTTTTTTAAAAAAGATAACGTGTGCTGTAACAGCTATTTGATGTAAGCTAGCTAAGTGCATCATTTACCATCCCCAGGTTAGAAGTTAGGAATTGCTAGCACCCCAGTCTTCTCTCTTCCTCTTCAGAGATGCAATTAATGCTGTTTTTCAAAATCACACCATAGAAAACACACCTGAGCTGGCATTCCTACATCAAATCAAAGAGCCTAAATCAAAGAGCAAGTTTAAGAAAAAGACAGTCAATCTATGAGCGCATGTATGCAAGTGATATTTTAAAGCAGATGGTGCTTTGCTTAGAAAATCTAAAACTAATGTCTACCAGGTGTCCTTCCACAAAATACTGCCACTCCTAAAGTTGGTTAAGTTTCTTCTGATGTGAAAGATACAGAACTTTTTCATATCACAAGCTAGCTATCAAAAATCTAAAAGACCTGCATAAATTATTAAAACCTTTAAGATGACAAAAGCTTTTTGCTTAAGAACTGAAGGGCCAGATCTTCAAATCTATTTATGCACCTAACTTAAGTCAATAGGAGTAAAGTACCTAAATGCCATTAAAGATCTAGGACTAGTGCAAGATTAAAGAATGATTTTCAAAAGAAAAAAAAAGATTCTTAACTAGTTTCCATGGCTTCTAAGAACCTGGCCATTTAAACAGCTGAGACTTGGATCTGACATGCCACATCACAGCCCAGCAAATTAAATTCTCAAGGTACTAGAATGTGCCCTTAACTACATGAGAGCAAAATCTTAATGCCTTCTTCTTCCTACAGTATTACGTATCAGACATGAATCAGGTTGCCTAATAGAGTACAGTTAGTTTGGTAAGAAATGTTGCTGTATATGTATACACAAATTATAGAAACAATATTATATAAATCTTGCTATGGTTTTCATGACTGCACATGGAAAAACCTATCATTAACTGGCAAAAACCACTCCCTTCTTCATTTAGGCAAATTTGGAAGGAACATGACATGGATTTTTCTTTTTTTAATGCAAGACTGTTGAGAGAACTTATTGAGGAAAAACCAAAGTCAGAGAAATTTGTTTTGTAGTAATAAATGGAGGTGTAGGAGATGAGATGGGGCAAAAGGGAATTATTTATTCAGAACTAAAGACCAAAATACAGGTTTCTCCCATGTACAGTAGAGAAGAGCAGTATTACCATGCCTGATAAGAGTCCATGCATAAGCGGTTTCATTTTACCTGCAACGTAAACAATCCAATGCAACTTAAAAAGAGCACTCCAGTTTGGAATTTAGGGGGTTCTAGTACTTTATAGCCCAAGCTGCCTTCAAACACTCTAGAGCGGTTTGAATTTCAAAAGATACAGCAGTATGTTTGAAAAGTGAGAACAGTGTGCTAGCTTGCTGAAAGGAGAATTGAAATTACAGGCTACCACAAAAAGTTGAGACCAATTCCTGTTCTAATAACTGACAGATCTGGATCTGCCTCCAGAACCCCAGTCAAACTCCACTGAAGAAATATGCAGCTTGGTGGTTTAGATCCACTTATATATGTGACCATATAACCCTCTAGTGGCTGAAACCTGTAGAACAGCACTTAAAATGAATGCTTCTCTTATTTGAGATTGTCTTCATTTTAGACAAAAAAACCCAAGTTTTCCTTTCCACTTGACTCTTGCCCTGAGGCTTCAGCTCCTGGTCTCCCTGCCCAACCTCTATGGGAAAACTGCCAGACAAAATGGTCTGACTAGGCACAGTTTTCTGACTACTAAGCAAGGCAAAAAGTGTGAACCATTGGCAGAACACATAATAATGTTCTTGTAACAGGATTTTAAGGTTTAAGGAAACTGTGGTCATAGAACTATCTGGTGAAAACAAAGCATTCCTTTTCAGAAGGAGCCTCCCCAAGCCTGGTTCCCAGCCCCACTGGCCACCCTGCAGCCTAGTTGGACAGTGCAAGTGGCAAGAGGAAGTAAGAATTGTGCGGAAGCAGGCTCAAGGAGGTTTTACCTGTCCCAGGACAGCAGGCCTTAAATGCCAAATGTGCAGACCACCTGAGCAGCACACATGGCAATTTAAAGCCTGCAGGGCCAGGAACCAGGGTTGGCAAAGCTCTCCCTGGGGTAGTAAGGCAAAGCACTCATGCCCAAGTCCAAGGGGTGTGGAACGGATGGGGGCTTTGCTGTAAGGCTTGGTATCCAGGAGCAAAGTGCAAGGAAGACAGTGGCAAGCCCCTGCCCACTTCTCATACCACAGTCCCCAGTGTGAGAAGCAGGCAGGGAGCTTTACCCTGCGATCCAGTCCCCTCAGAAACCAGTCGTAAGCTCCTGCACACTTCTCCCAGACCAGGATCACCCTGGTCTCAGGAAGGTACAAAGCAGGGGAAATGTAGAAATTTATGCTGCTAGGAAAAAGATTTCTAGCAGCATAAATTTTTCACCGCTAGAAATGTACATGGCTTGACTCACAAAATGCAAGGTTGTGTGGGACCCTGTAAAAGATAATAAGTTTAATAATTCTACCTCAAGTTCAAAAAGTGTGCCCCAGAGATAGTAGACCCCATGCAATTCATTTCTTATTAGCATGCAGTGGGCTCTGCAGGACTTAACCTGTTTGTTATTTAGAAGGCAAATTCAGATGACAATGGAAAGAATTTTGAGCTGTACTCAGTGACTGTTTCCGATACCACCCAAAAAAGGAACAATTCAGGAAAGAGTAATGACATCATGAGTTTCCATGAGTGCCTTCAAAATGACTTCCATCTCAAATATTCTGAAAGTATTCCTATTCCAACAACTCAGTTTTTTGTTCAGATGTACCAAAACAATAGAAAAATGGAATTAACTCCTAAGCATTAGAAGAAAAGCTGATCAATCAAACTCCAGTTTTTGGTTATTATCCCAGGTCATTTCATGATACAGAATCCCTCAAGTGAAAGGTCAGGTCTGAGAAAGAGACAGATAAGCAAGTTCAGAAGATACACAAGTACAAAGTAACCGTGAAATAACCTTGGGCCTCTTTTGAGTCTCTCAGAGCGGAAGTTCTCATAGTGAAGGTCCTGGGTCACCTCCTGAAGATCCTGCATATGGGTGCTGAAAGGAGATAAAAATTTATAGTGAAAACATATCTTGTATTTGGCATAGCTTGCTCAGGCAGTTTGAAGAAAAATTCAAAAAATTCTCCCTTTTCTATTCTTCAAAGTCCCATTGCTCCCATCAGGCCTAGCCCTGTTAAATGTTTGGAGGAAGCTTCTGCTGGATTCCAGTACTCCCTCTCCCATGCTAATCTAAAGGACCGGGCAGGTGAGGTCTCCAAGTGCTGTTTTCCCTTGTAGCTCTCCACGTGGAAAGAATTGTGGGTATTTCTTACATTCAACAATTAATATTCTCCCTCCCCTGAAGAATAGAGGGAGGAAGAAGCCACATAACATAAGCATGTACACTGTTTCTTTAGAAACTATGTTAGTCACACACTCAACCCCTCATCCCATCTTTCAGTAGTAAGGGCTTTTTTATTTTAAATGACAATTAGGATTTCTAGTCATCTTTTTAGAGCAGGACAGCCTAATGCTCCCTAACATTGGCTGCAAGGATACACAGTTGGCTAAAAGTTAGAAGAGGTTCTGAAAAAGTCAAAAAGATGTTTTTGAACTGCCAAAATGAAGTAATTTGACAGGTTTAATTTCTAACCGCATACAATCAAAGACTCAACTGTTACAAATTAAATTTAGTATGACAACACAAAGATCTGGGGTTTTTCAGTTCAACCACTAAATAAAAAGATTATTTCTGTAGTTCAGAACTACAATAATTATGCAGAGGCCATCACAATGTGTGGGAACACACTGCTTTTCCTAACCTGCCTACGGCAGGCCAAGAAACAAAGTGTCTGCTATTTTAGAAGCTTTACTGCTGCTTCTAGCAGATGCATGCTAGAAAGTGGAAAGGAGCCTGGATTTCTTTACCGAACAGAAATGCTTCCATTTCCAAGCACAGAGAAAAAGGCTGTTCCTGTTCAACATAGTTTTGATTCCTGTTAAGCCTAGAATTTGTTTGGATAATGCTTTGCCTTTCAGTATTGGATACATTCCACCATTTGCTCATGTGGAACGCAACCGTCTCAGGATAATTTGTACGCGTCATTTGAGCGTAACTATTTATTATGCAACGGTATCACACACTAGAAACTCTAGGCAAGTCATTCCTTCCAGAGTTTTTAAAAGAGTTATCACCTCATGCATCCTTCAAATAAAACAACTAGTTTATTAAAATTAAAATTTTATCAAAGTGGCACGTACCTGCAATTTAGGGAGATTCTCTGCATAATCCTACTTGTGGGACTGCCTATAATAAATGATCAAAATGCCTGTGGCACAAAGCAGAGTCTCCTTAATTCCTACAATGAGGAATATGCACTGCACACGCCACTTTAAGACAACTGTAATTATAATATGGGGGTAGCAATTCTGAGGCACCTGATCCACTAATCTGTACAGGGATTTCTCTTCTCCTTGAAGACCTTGTATAAAATGTAACAATGGGATGACCTTAGTTCTCCTCCTCCTTTTCCTATTTTAAGAAGCTCTAGCCTAACTTTAAAGTTTCCAAGGCTGTAATCTATTGCAGAAATGTTATTCATTTCAAACTGAGTACACATTAAAACTAATGATTTGTATACTGGTATTAAGCACACACTTAGCAAATTTGCAGATTGGGTAGAATTGCAGATATTCCAGAGAGTAGAGCCAAGATCCAGAATGACCTGAATCTGGTCATTCAGGAGATACAGTTTGCAATCAACTAGATGAAATTCAGCAATGACAAATGCAGAGTCCTGCACTTGGGATGGAATATGTAATCATTCCACAGTTTATATTTGTGCATACAATATATATTTGTATTTACAAATATAGACCGGGGAATGATTAGCTAGGCTTTAATACTGCACAGAAGGACTTAGGAATTACAATTTTTTGTTTGTTTGTGGGTTTTTTGCAGCAAAAGCCAAAAGCATATTAGGTTGTATTAGGAGTGTCATATGAAAATCAAGGGAAGTGATTCTTCAGTTCTACTTAGTATTTGTGATACCTCGCTTGGAGTACTATGTCCAGTTTTGGGCCTCACAATTCAAGAAAGATGTGGACAGACTAAAAAGAGTCCAGTGGAGAGGGACAAAAATGATTAGAGGCCTGGGAAGCAAATCTTATGAGGAAAGGCTGAAAGAACTAAGGCTGAGTCCGGAGAAGAAAAGACTGAAGGGGTATTTAAAGGGCAATTATAGAGATTATAATTATAATTATAGAGAGGATGGAGATGGGCTTATCCCTGTGGCCACAGGGGACAGGACTAAGAGCAATAGCCTCCAGTTATAGCAAGGGAAATTTGGGCTGGAGATTAGGAGAAATGTTCCAACTATGAGGTTAGTCAAGCACTGGAACAAGCTACCTAGAGAAGTTATGGAATCTCCATCCCTGCAAACTTTCAAAATTAGGTTAGACGGACACTTGGTTGGGATGGTTTAGTCAGGGATGACTCTGCCTTGCGCAGGGGGCTGGACTAGATGCTCTTGTGAGGTCCCTTCCATCCCTATTTTCCTGTGTCCGAAGCACCTTGGATCAAACTTGAAAGAATTAGTGAAATAATCTCTCCTCATTTTTAAGTCAAACCAGAAAGATCTGAGAAGAGTTTCTCTGCTTAGCACCCCTGTATGATCAGAAGTCTGTACAATCAGATGTGCATAACAGTGAAGGAGGGATAACTATATAAACGTGCATCAAAAAAGTTGACAATTCTTGCAATAACACTTGCCTGGCAAAAACCGGCACCTCCACAGAATAAAAGTCCAGAAGCACGGGGCCATGAGCACAAATGCACTGAAAGCCGAGTTGCTGCCTTGCATCTTCCTTGTTTGGTATTTTGACAATTCAGTTGCCAAGTATGGTAATATCGATAATGAAGCTACCTTTAGCATCACTTTGCCTTGGCTGTATAGTAGAGTTATACTGATATAATCCAAGATGCAATTTTAAGCTAATGCTAACTCCTGCATGAACACTTACTCACTTTAAATTTAAGTAGAGGTGCAACAATACATTGGTCCAATATCGGATTGGCACCAATATAAAGAAAGTTGACTGTATTGGAAATAGGCTTTTTTTGCCCGATACGGCTGATAATTTGGGTGATAAATGCCCGTGCATGCGCACACCTGCAGTGCAGCGTGCAGGCGGCGAGGAGTACAGCCCGGCATCTTAGACAGCTGCGTCTAGCTGGTAAGTCTGTTGTGGAGGAAGGAGAAAGGGGAGGGAAGGCAGATCAAAGCCCTCTGCAGTGAGGGAGGGAGTGGGGCTGGGGCAGGTCCTGCACTGCTGGGGCGGGGCAGGAGATGGAGCAGCAGCTTGTGAGGTGGGTGGTTTCTGCTGCACACACTCCAAGAGGGCATGAGGAGCACATGCCCCCAGATATGTGCAGGGTGGGCTGCTGCCACAGGCTGGGGGCTGTGTCAGGCTCTTCCCAGCAGGGGCTGAGCTGCATGTGGGCCAGGGCAGACTGTGGCACTGGGAAAGATGTGGGGGGGG